TCTCATCCTCGTCGCCAGCTGTAGTGTTCACCGCCGTCTCCGGATTCCGATGTATTCTCACAAACTCGCGGTGCAAAACACTAAGGCACTGTCGTGCTGTGCGGCCGGGCGGAGCCTCTCGACTGCTGGCTCTGACTGGAGCCGAGCAGGGTGCGGCCGCCTCACACTCGTATTACCGGGGGCCCGATGCCGAGCCTCGGACACCCGATGCACTAGGTACTCGATACACTACAGGGAGGTCAGCGATCTATAAGAGCAGCGGCGGCTCTCATTGGTGTTTGTTTGCCAGCAACAGAATGGGTGGCAGGCGGAGTTGAGAGGGAAGAGGGAACACTGCTTCATATGACGAGATACATCTGGCATGTTGGTCTGCAACTATTTTCAGGAGTGTTAAAGTTTGATTTTATTGTATGATTTGCCTGATCGACACAATCCAAAAAAAGTAGAATGAAGAAGGAGACTAATCCGTTCTGTGCTTGGGCCTTTGCGACGCGACGGTCAGTCAATGAAACCGTTCTCTGTTTTCTCCGTTGTTGCATTTCGTCTGCGATCTTCCACGATACAAATTCAGCTTGCCCGCAGTGCCTCCAGTGGGGTTGTATGAGCTCCGAGCTCTGAGGAGCTCCGTGCTACCGTTTCTTGTCGCTCTGTGTGCCCGGCGTCCCGGCACGGCCGGCCTCAGCCACCAGCTCCGGTGTCAGTCGTTCGTCTTGCTCGGGTGACGCCGGCTGACCGTGTCAGACACGAGAGTGGATTCCTGCACGCGCAGCCCGCCCCCGCCCCCGCTGCCGCCCTCATACAGCGCCGGGCTGTCACCGCCTCATTGGGAAAAGATCCTGTGTGTGCAGGGCAGGCAGTTTTCTTGTCAGGGTTCCTGTGAGTGCAGGGCAGGCAGTTTTCCAGTCAGGGCTGCGTGGGTGAGACCGCGAGACAGCCGGACGTGGGTTGAGTGGGTGGGGCTCGTCAACAGAGGAGTGCTCGCTGCCGGTGCTGAATCGCGTCGAAGTTGACGCCGGTGACGTCAGCGGCAGAATCACGAGAGGGAATGATGACGTCATTCGTGTCAACGGTCAATGGCGTGGGTTGGTGGACAGATTCGAGACCAACTTTGCCCTTAGATTTTGCCGTAAAGGCAGGCTGATGGATATAGTGTCCGTCCAGTCCAGGGTAATTGAAACAGCTGCCTACCCACAATCCACATATGTATTTCTGTAAAATAGACATACTGAATTGCTTCATTGTTATCTTGCATGGTTGCAGTCACTGCAAAAGACCCACTCTACCAATTTTCTCTGTCACTGCATTCGGTGGCTGGGCTGACTCGAAGGGTGGCACGCTGCAAGCAGTTTCGTCACGAAACTGCTTTCGCGTTCTTCCTTTAAAGTCATAGCCTGCTCACGCGTGTCGTGCGTGGGGACTAAAAGCTTGCGTGTGTCTTTTAACGGATGGAACAGACGTTTTGTGGAGTTTGTTTGTCCACGTTTTGTATAAGTCAGTGATGGATGTTTACCAAGTGCTGTCTGGCGCAAAGACGCTATCCGACAATTATATGTTAGTTCCGTGTCTTTTTGCACAATTTACATGCCCCAGTGTTTGGCGCTTCCATGCGAGATGCCTCTGGTCCTGTATCCTAGCCTCTTTTCGGAAATCTGGGGCGATCTATGTTTGAAATATGGGCTAGTTAATTTGAATCGATCGGGGGCGGCACGCACGCGCAAGTGTGTCACGCTAGCCGACTATTTGAAATACGGAGGCTATTAGAAATAGGGTCCTTCCCATCCCGGCAGCCCAGCAGCCGGGCTTCTGATTTAGGCGCGTGGCTCATGCTATCCACTCCTGATTGTGTCAGACTCGGTCTTGAACTGACGGGTGACGCGTTGGCACTACCAATTAGTTTCATGGGGCCGATCGCCGTCAAAATGTCGTTTATATAGCAAATCGGTTGAACACAAGTGCACTTATGTGCACCTAATGGTGTAACGAATAGACGAAAGGTCATGCAAGATCTGCTATTCATAACAATATTTTACTATGAAAAAAAAATGTGATCTCAGCTTTCAGTAGTAGCTCCTATTTTCGAATTTCCTCAAATCACAATTAAGCCGAAATTCCACTCGATATTAACACTGAGTCTAATTACCGAGACCCGCCAGAGGTCACCTTAATCCGCCGCCGCGGCGGCGGCGACCGACCGTGCCTTATCCTCCGTCTGTCTGGGTGAGGCGGCACGGCTCGTCGCCGCCGTCGGCACCACCCCGTCGCAAACGACGCGCGCCTCGTCGCTAACGACGAGCGCCCGGGTGGCGTCTGCCGGGCGGGCGCGCATTGTCCGTCGGACCCTCAGGCGCCGCACGCCCTGCAGATAATGAGCAGCACAATGGCGCCGGGTTCCCTGGAACGGCATCCAGATCAGAGAGCGGTTGCACCGAGCAGCTGCGTATGGCGCTGAGTGGGTGATCCCGAGCGGGATATAGAGCGGTGTACGTGATCCCGCGCCGGATGAGAAGCGGACGGGTGGTACTGCGAGCTGGATGTCTTTATCCAGCCTTTTTTACCTTTATCCTGGTCAGATGATCCCGCCCGCGCTCGCTGTGGTCTCGGCTGCAGAGGTTTTATGTTGTCTATTTTAGAAAAAAAAAACATCGCTGGATTATGCATTTGACTAAGTACAGGGTGGGGCAGAAAGATTTACCTCTTGATTTTCTTAAATATTTCGGCCCTGAACAAAGATATCAAATTGATTTCTGGCACATATATGCAGTAACATATACACTTCTCAGCGACGGCATTATGACTCAATATAGTCACCTTTGACCTTCACCACTGCCTCGAAACGTTCCTCTGCGGAGGGGCACGAGCGCCGCACGGTGTTCCCGCCAAGATTCGACGGTGCCGTCTCAAGGGCCAGCTTCAGGGCGGCGATTCTGCTGTGTGCTGCTGCACACACCCTCCTCTCCAAGATGGTCCAGGTTGCGAAGTCCATCGGGTTCAGGTCTGGACTTGATAATGGCCGAATGTCTTTGTCCCAGAACCCAGGCATGTGGGTCTTCCACCACGGTTGAGCGATGTTGGCCGTTTGCGGCGGCGCACCGTCCTGGACGAAGACGCAACCGTCTCGGAACGACTGAGTGACCCAATGCAAAACATGTTCCTCCAGCAGATGGACTTAAACATGTAAATTAACTTTTACAGCCTCCTTGATGAAGACCAAGGATCCTTTTGAGCCGTCGGATGCGACGGCAGCCAAGACATGACACCAGCAGGCTTCTGGCGACGAAAAATGGTGCGAATAGCAGGATCAATGCTGGATGAACCATCTGCCAAAATTCTGACGTTTTGGGAGTGTCTCTGGGGCTCAAGCATGAACATGTTGTCATTGGACCAGAAGAATGCCTTGTTACCGGCGCTCCTGATCTCCTCCAATGTCTTTTGGGTCCTGTGTAGCCGCTTTTCCCTGGAAGCCGCCGAAATTAGGTGCAGATGTTTCACCGTGTATGACATGAAGCCCAAGCCGTCATTTATGATTCTTCTGGCGGTTCTGGGCGAAACATCGAGTTCTCTTGGCAGTTTGCGCATGCTTCGCCTAGAACTTGAAACACCTTCTTGTGCACGATATCAACCAGCTTTTTAAAGCAGATATCTCTTATTCTGCCTGGCATGGACTTCTTCGACACCAGCCCTGTCTTTTTAAAGGTAGTGTGCCAGCTTTCTTGGACCGTATGGAGTTAATGGCCCAGATAAGGAGAACCGGATTTTTAGAACTTATCCATACCTTCAAAACTCATGGAAACGTCTTAAATTCTTCAAATTTTGAGTACCCCAGTGCGAAATTCGCCCCGACGGGTTGTCGGTCGTACCCCAACCACATTTCACACCACTATGAACAATAAATGCACACACTGAAATCGCTATTACCGATATGCTCATCCAATCAAGTTTCGATAAACCCGTTCATCATCATCTCCTGCGGTTTCGAACACGCCTGTTAGGTGGCTTCTGATGCTCGTCGTGGTCGGAATTTCCAAATACGCGTGGTGCGTCGGGCCGCGCGCTCTGACTTCGGCCAAGAAAAATGCGTCAGCTGATCATTGTCATTTCTGCCACTTGCGTGTGGTGAAATGGGGTCATAACTTATAAGACGGCTTTTTCATATCAATTATTTTACATAAAATCATAATTCAAACCATAAATAATGTTCGACAGCCAAATAAAAGAAACAATACAATACGGGCTTACAGTTTAAGGCTCGACATTGTGTTGCCTACGATTAGACAGCTGATAACTCATTCCCGTACGTCGTATGGTCGTAACACTATAATGACCTTTGCTTATTGTCACAAGTGCGCCGCATTCGCGATTGTTGCCCGACGCCTGTTTGCAGGTGAGCCCACTACAGTTGTTATACATATCTAAAAACCGAAAAACTTTTAGGCGAAAAAAGCACTATTCCAGGCTCATTTATGATTTTTTTTTTGCGATATTAGGTAAAAACAGAAGCTTCTTATCCTAGGAAAAATAAAATGGGAAATCTTTCAAAGGTGGCACACTACCTTTAAGTCATTTAATTACACTGCAAACAGTTTTTACGGCAACACCGAGCTGTTTGGCAACGCTTCAGGAGCTATGGCCAACCTACTTTAGCGACGCAATTTGGGCTCTCTTAGTCATCTTCGCCATAGCTCACCAACAAATATTACGAAATGCAAAAACGATCTTAATGTTGATACATGAGTCAGTTGGGAAGCTGCATGCAAAATTTTATCAAAATCCGTTCATAACTTTTTGAGTTATGGACTGAAAACAAACAGGTAAATCTGTCTGCCCCACCCTGTATGTCATCCTTTTTCCATCGCTAATTTTTCAGTATTTCCTTTCCCATGTTTTGCTTTTGCACACAATAAGCTGCCTTTATTCGAAACGGAGAAGGGGAATCGAACCCGTCTCCTCCACTTCACAGCTCAGCTGACCGTCATTCTAACTCACTTGTCGTCTCTCCACAGTGAGCATTCGATTTGAGGACGCGCCCGAGCAGCAGAACCCGCAGCAGGGCACCACGGCCAAGATCAAGTGCGTGGTGCGTGCCAACCCGGTGGCCGTTGTGGAGTGGATCAAAGACGACAAGACCATCTCGTCGGGTGGACGGTGAGTGGACGCGGTGGACGATGTCCAAATTGGGGTCGATATGGGAGGTGTATGTAATCGGCAGATGTGGTCGAGGCTGGCCTCCGGGCACCGGTTCATGGATTGATTTCTGATTGGAAGAGCGTTAGCCATTGCCTTGGCCCTAGTTCTTTTAACTCAAATGTTTTGGACTATGAACCGACATATTTGCTGACCGCTAGTTATTTCATATCTGTCTCGATCCGACCTCTGACCTGACCATACCCCTACCCTGAGCTGACCTCTAACCTGACCTGACCTTCACACAGGTTCGTGGTTGAGCAGGACGGCCTGGTGATCCAGGACATATCTTCTGAGGACGACGGCACTTACATCTGCCGTGCTAAGGTGCCCGACGAGGGCGAACTGGCTGAAAGGCGCATTCAGGTCGAGGTGCGTACCTACTCCGGACTCTTGTCAATCCATTGCCCTCCATAGATTCCTAAACCATGGCTGGCTATGGCAGCATCTAAATCTTGGCTAGATGTTACCTACCTACTTACTTATCTACCTACCTACCGGGATTTGCAACGTTACTCCATGCTGTCCGGTACCTACACCGGTACCGGTACTGGAGCACCACTGTTGGAGCAACAGTGGTGCTCCAAATGGCGTCATTGCTATACCCTCGCGACCATCTGTCCCGGCTGCCAAATGTCCCGCTCCGCAGAGTGTTGTGGCGACAACTTTAAACACGCGTTTGGGCGACAGCCGTCCGACCACTTACTGGGTCTGTTTCTGTGACAAATGACCACTCAGAGTCGCATCCGACAGCTGCGGAAAACAGACAGCTGGGCCTCGTTTCATAAAAGGAATTACTTACGGCGTTCCGTCAATTATGCCAGATTTGGCGTATTTGATGCCAATTCGGTTTCATAAAGCCGGAGACCGGAGTAATTCACGCCATCGAAAGTACGGAGCTTCATTTACGGCAAATGCTCGATTCCGGACCAATTGATGCCATTTGGGTTTCATAAAACGACGTAATTAACGCTAAATATTTTATCAAGCTCTTGATATCAGTGGTGTAAACTACGCACAAAAATGTTGCGTGATTTTGAATTAATGTGAAGATTCGAAGCTAATTTTTAATATATTTTATAATGTTGAGCCCGGTGAGGAAGAAAGAACAGCCAAAATGAGAAAAAGAAACTGCAAATCTTCTGTACCAGTCGCTTTTTGTGGCCACTATCGGAATTTTGTTTATTCGCCGCGCCGCGCCACTTTCGTAGTTAGGCACTTCTGCTTAGCTGGCTTTCTGCTGTTTTTAATATATTGTTTTAATAAAGGATGGTCATCGATATCAATTTTGTTTTTTTCATAAATAATTTTTAAGATTTAAATTCAACATAATTGTTTTATAAATTCTCGTAAAAAATAAGTGTTGACATGAAATTGTAATTTGTAGGACGCTTGATAAATTACGGTAACTACGCAAATGTGCTTAGTTACGGAGGTGTAAACAATTCCAGTTGTGGCTTTGTGAAACGGATTTATTTGCGCTCCGTAGTTTGAAAGGGTGTGAATTACGGAAAGGTGTAAGTTACGGCAGAGCTTTATGAAACGAGGCCCAGAAGTCGGTTACGGGAGACTGGTCGCCAAGCCGTGTAGGTGACATCGGGATGGCTGGAACATGTGACGCCTGGCAGTGATGGAACTAGACGCGAGTGTGGTTTAGAGATGAAAGGCATGCGTAATGCAGAATACTGGAAGGCAATATTGTTTTATCGGCCGTTTTCAGCACTCATGTTGTAAGGGTTATGAAAAGTGAGTAGGCTTTTAACTTAAACTTTTATTTTTTGTCGTCATATCTTTTGTGTGAAGTTTTTAAGCAGTTGTGAAAGCTCAGGAGCCTGCGTGCCATTTTTGTTACTCTTACCACACCTTTTGATTCAAATGCTTAATCCTGCACAACCTTTGAACACTCAATCGCTTACACTTCTGAAACCTTCCACATCACTATCAGTCTTTGATCATGCCTCTATCTCATGAACATGTCAGTTCGGCAGTCGGGCGTAACATTGACGACAGGAGCAGCCTGGGAGCCGTCAGACTTCAGAGGCAACCGTGCTTCGAACTAGTGGCTGACGCCCACCGAAGGCTTGTCGCCGCATTTGATCTTCCAATTTGGGCTTTGATCCGTCATACCGACACGATATTATGGATTGGTGCGTGGATGGGACCGTCTGACCACCTTTTACATCTGCGGCTGGATAGCATTTAATTGGTTCACGAGCGACAAGTGAGACGCAGATAGTATGACGGATGGAGCTAATTTATGTGACTTTTGGCACACCTGATGTTGATAGTAAATGCTTTAATTTGTAATTTGTTGGCGTTATCTTACGCTCACAGATCGTGCGTCATCAAATGAATATGATATCCGGATGTGTTGAACACAATTAGATATTTGAAACTCAACGCTGCCCGCCTATTAGTGTTTTATATGCCTACATTTTCCCTGTATTTCTCCCATCTGGGTCTGTAGGTCGTGACTTTGTCATATGATTATCCTGCGCCCTTCTGCGCATAGACCATTTTACTCCATTTTTCGTTAACGATGCTACATCGTCAATTCTACATATGTCTTCAACCCGATTTATATGTGGTGCAGTGATTACAACTGTCGTCACATAAGTGTCTCCCTATTGTTGTTACTTGATGCCTCCCTCGATTGACATGGCTCTCATGATCGATGTGTCCTCCGTTTTCTGGCAATCCCTCTCTTGAGCTCTCCTCTCACCCTCTAACCCATCTCTGACCCCCTCTCTGACCCATATCTGACCCCCTCTCTGACCCATATCTGACCCCCTCTCTCCCTCCAGGTACACTCTCTACCCCAGATTCTGGAGCCGGCCGAGGGCGCTACATTTGAGGTCACCGAGAAGGAACAGGGTAGCATCCCGTGCCGAACAGCCGGCAAACCCCTGCCCACACTTACCTGGGTTAACCCCGAGAACGCCGAGGCCGATAATGTTGACGGTCTGAGCGTGGACCCTAAGGATGGCACGCTCAACTTCGACCCTGCCAGGAGGGATATGGGCGGAGAGTACCGCTGTATGGCGGAGAATGCGCTGGGAAAGGTGGAGACTACTGTCAATGTGGTTATTATCGTCAAACCGGAAATTATCAGGTGAGAAGGGGAGAGAAGTGGGTGTAGAAGTGCGGTAGAAGTGTCGTAGAAGTGTTGTAGAAGTTTAGTATTCAATAATTCATACCGATTACATATAGCTGGTGGTTTTCAGGTCAATTGGATTGATCTGGTTCTTACTTAGGACTTTGATTGGCTGTTGTTGATTGGTCAATTGGATTGACTTGGAAATTCTTACTTGGCGGTCTTACTTAGGAATGGGGCTCGTATACATAGTACATTGACTTTATTTCCGTCAGTCCCAGGAATATAAGCATTGGTGTACATTTGAGGGAGAGATGTAACTCCCCTCATGGATTAGCTAAACATACATGGTGATGTCACGTAGGATCGTGCTGTCAATTGAGCTTGTTTGCTGTTTGATATAGCCCATCCCACTGGCGCCAAACCACGGGGATTGACCGGAGTTGGTACGTCATATTGGCGTCTGGGTATTGGACTGATTTGTCTCTGACGTGACAGGTCTGTCCCTCTCGTTATGTAATGGTCGTGTTATGATTCGGTACTTATGTGCCCTTGACGAACGGTGGATCAAACCCTGATGAAGGAGAGAGAGAGAGAGAGAGAGAGAGAGAGAGAGAGAGAGAGAGAGAGAGAGAGAGAGAGAGAGAGAGAGAGAGAGAGAGAGAGAGAGAGAGAGAGAGAGAGAGAGAGAGAGAGAGAGGAGAGAGAGAGAGAGAGAGAGAGAGACAGAGACAGAGACAGAGACAGAGACAGAGACAGAGACAGAGAGAGAGAGAGAGAGAGAGAGAGAGAGAGAGAGAGAGAGAGAGAGAGAGAGAGAGAGAGAAGAGAGAGAGAGAAGAGAGAGAGAGAGAGAGAGAGAGAGAGAGAGAGAGAGAGAGAGAGAGAGAGAGAGAGAGAGAGAGAGAGAGAGAGAGAGAGAGAGAGAGACCCGAGCCTGACCAGGCTAAGAGACCTAATGAATGATGTCCGATGAGCTTTACGCATTTTGACGTTCTTGTATAGGACCGTTCTACCATCCTATCCTCAGCGTGTATGGCGTATGCTGATCCTGAGCGAGGCACTGACTGTCAGCCCTGGACATATTTAATGGACCGAATCCTCCATATAATCTGAATAAAATTACTAAATAGCAAAAATTCGGGTATATTCGATCACAGATCTTTGTCAACCCCTAATGGATTTTGCTATTTCAACCCCCGGATTTTTGCTATTTTGTCATTTTATTCAGATTATATAATCATCATGATGATTTTCCTCACAACGCTTAACTCTCTAAAATGTCAGCCCTGAGCTCATTTTTCAACCAGTCACGCATGACAGTCCTTCCATCAGTCTGTCACCCAGGCCGACTGCCGTTCAGCCCCGACCTGTCAGTGGTTTGGCCAGGCTCATCATTGAACCATGCTGGCGAACCACGATAGGCTCAGATTAATTTGAAATTAAATTGGCACATCGGCTATCGAAAGTGATAAGCTCATGGGTAGCTGGCAGTGGTATTTAGCGGAATTAGGAAGGGGTTTTACTATGTTTCAGCGTTTGATAGTGGGGTCATAATATGGCTATTGCTGTAACTGAGTCAGTGGCTATCTCACAAACTGGATTAGTTTGTCACCTCATTGGCCTAGGACCGAAGAATACAAACCGATTCGTGTCGCTCAATTCAGTCGTCATTATCACCAGATTCTCTGCATACAAAAGACACGCCTGACTTTCAGCATGTAGTCTCACGCAAGAGGCTGCGCCAGCGCATTGCAAAAGCTCCAGAATCCGTGCCAATGCATGTAATACTGGGAAAACGGCATGGATACGACCTAGCTGTATCCTTCGAGACATTGTCTTCGGCTCTATTGGTACTGCGTGACCATCCAATCTGCTCAGTAAGATTTCGGTTCAGTGTGCTGACACGCTCCATATGCCATTCATTGTGTCGGTCAGATTTCTATAGTCGGTCGACCGTCGAAGACTGTATTAGGACTAGGAGGCGCAGTCACGAAATGTGCTCGAATAAATTCAAGTGTCTGTAAGCCAGTATGCACGTAAGTTGTTCCTCAAAAGTCATATACCTTCGTGCGCGGTTGTCTGGTTCGTGTTAGAAAGTAATTTTATTCCTGTTGCTAATGATCTAAAATGAGTTTTTTTTTTAAACTACTTTGAAGCATTTTTGATGAATCCATAGAACCAATGACCAGTGAAGCCTCTCGGATTCACCCTGCCTGACCTCCGTCTATGGTGTTCTACTGGGTCCCATGGCTCCTACGGAAAAGTCCCTCTCAGACAATCGGCCGGGCTCCTCATTTAGCTGCCATCTCAGAGCGAAGTCGAGTTTGAACTCCGCTCGACCGAGCAGCTCGGCCTCAAGTTTTGATGTCCTGCCGGCCGATGTCGGTCTCCTAAATGGCCAGTGAAGTAGCTCGCTCGCCATAGGAGGTAGCGTTCGCCAGACGGATGGGCTCAGGATAATGGGGGTCGTAGTATTCCGGTAGTGGTCGGGGAAAAGGGGTAATAATTCGCACAGATGAAACACCGAGCCAAGGAGACGTTCGTAGTACATCGTATGAGCGAGTTCGCTGTTGAATGCAAAATGCTTGGCTGAACATGTGAGCAGAATTCATCGTTGTTCTGGCAGTCGGGTTCTGCGGCACTTCGATTAAAATGTGAATGAACAACATAACTTATTGCAATACCGCAAAATCCCCGTTCATTCGTCTATTGAACCTCCCATGCATGGCTATCGACCTGCGCCGTCACATCTGCTGCGCAAACACAGTACTTGATACACCTTAAAATGTATTACCTTCCTCTTTACTCTGAGCAATCAGCCTGCAAGTCTCCAGTCAGGAACAACCAGCCCGCAACCAGCCCATGCGATCAGCCCGCAACCAGCCCGCATTCAGTCTGCGATCAGCCCGCAATCAGCCTGCAGGAACGCTTTCCATTCGGCCGCGTCACTTGCCTTACACATCCAAGCCAAAGAACTCCAGGAGCCAAATATGAACACATTTTTAGCTTTAGCAAGTGGATGTTTTCACAAACACTGTATGTTTGCGCTATCGCCCATGTCAGCAGCCGGGTGGCGATATCGCATTCTCCCAAATCACATATACAGTTTCTCCTTCCACCACCAGCCTCAAGCCAGCGTTTTCGACGATGTCGACGTCCCCGCGCGGCGCGCGCCAGGACGCTCCCCTCAGACTCCAGGGCCTCAATCAGAGCGGAGATGGCCTCGTCCCCTATAGAATGAAGAGTCGGGCGGATGCGTTATTCAACAGGCAGGGAGTAAAGAAACTTAGATTGACTTCAGAGACCATGAGCCTACTCCAAAAATAAAATAATGCACTTGACATATAAAGTGTAGTATAGATAAAATATTGCACTAATCAGCACGAACATATGTTTATTAAACTCAGCCAAATTTATACCTAAATCAATTGACCCCAAAATGGCAAGCTGATTCTATTCCTGGTTTATCTTCATTTGGGAGATTTGTCTAAATACCACATGCATAATTTAAGCTATGGGGCATTTATACAACATGTAAATACTTACTGCATTGATTGGTCTTGCATATGAATTGTCTTCATCCAATGCATTCATCCATGCATTTGAAGAGCGTTGTGATATTGCTTATTATGGTCAATCACAAGTAATATAAATAATACACAACACTTGACAAGCAAAAAATTAACCTTATTTCAGTTCTTCAATATTTGATTACTTGCCATTCACCCAATCTTGCACCAGCCGCTCGTCACTGCACAAAGCGTGATCCAACGCGATCGAAAAATGGCGATCGCTTCCGGTGGACGCTAGAACGTGGTACCGCGGGCGTGGTCTTGATGAAAGCCATTACACTGATTAAACTACAACCCCTTCTTCTTAAACCCGATGCTAGTTCGTGCAAAACCTTCAAAGGGTTTATCTTTCGCGCGCTTGGTGTGACGTAATATCACGTGACTAGGGAGAACGAAGAAGAACCGGTGTTGGTCGAGTTGAAGCCCCCCTGGGGCCACTAAGATTGCACGCGAAGAAGCAGCACGTGTCTTCGGTCTATGTGAAACACTGTGTGTGTTCTTCATGAACCAGACGTTCTGCTTCGCCTCTAAGCCAGTTTACCGTAATACCCAAAAAACCTAAGTGTGGAATATTTTAAGATGCTTTTGCATAACGTTCTTTCAACTTGTTTTCAGTGTATTAAATTGTTTCTACAATTTAATAATTTTAAGTTTCTACAATAATAATAAGCTGCATTATTATTAAAAGAAGCATTATTCGTAAACCAAAACTCACTCAAATCGTAGGAATAAAGTATTTGAAGCCCGTATCCATTATACTCTCTCCACCGCGTCACTTGATATTTCTTACTATCCAGTATCCACATATTCGCATCTAGTTATCTACAGTTTACACCTCTGCCTCCTAACCTCTCCTGTGTCTACAACTCTCCCTCGCCCTCCCTCCCTCACTCTCTCTCTCTCTCTCTCTCTCTCTCTCTCTCTCTCTCTCTCTCTCTCTCTCTCTCTCTCTCTCTCTCTCTCCTCTCTCTCTCTCTCTCTCTCTCTCACTCTCAGACTCTTTCTCTCCCCGCTCCTCCCCCTCCCCAACTCTTTCCCTCTATCTAACCTGCCCCGTCTTTCTCACAGATACGAGAACATCACAGTGAACGAGGGAGAGACAGCTCGGCTCGAGTGTAAGGTGGCCGGTTCGCCGCTGCCCGAGGTCAAATTCAGGAAGCTGGGCCGTGATGATCGATTCGAGGAGGGCACTGCGCCAGATGATGATCGTATACAGCTGAGCCAACGGGTGGAGGACGGCTATAGGGTCAGTAGGGGTGAGACAGGGGGTCAGGATGAAGTCAGGGGTTAAACTGAGGTCAGGGTGGAGTTGGTTAGGGTGAGGCAGGGTCAATGCAGGGTCAAGTTGGGTTCAGGAAGAGTTTGATGGTTCAAATGAAGGCTGGTGATGTCAAGTTGGAGCAAACACGGGCTGATGCTGGGGTCAGTTGGGGGGTAAGGGACGGCTTCGAGGCGGGGTTGGTGTAGGTAAAGGAAGAGTCAATACAGGGTCAGGTTAGGGCGAGAGTCTGTTTGGTAAGGGTTTGGTGGGGTCGTGCTGAAAATCAGTGAAACTTCACATTCAAAGTGGGGTGAAGTTGAAGTAGTGTGCTCAGGCGGCATCCAACAGAAAAGTGCATGTTTATGCTGGGGAGATTAATAAGTATCACAGTGCATTGCTAAGACGAGTCTTCTCTAGTCCCAACGCCCTCATTTCACCTTCCCTGACTTCATTTGACCTCCCTGACCTCATGTGACCTCCCCTTCCCTCCCTCAGATCGGCACTCTCACCATCACTGACCTGAAACGTGCCGATGACGGCTTGTACGAGTGCATCGCCATCAACAAGGGTGGCGAACTGCTGAAGAACGGCCACATAACAACCCAGTTCAAACCAGACTTTGACAAGTCGCCCATGCACGAGATATTCTCGTGGCACAACAACCCTGTGAACCTGACATGCGTGGCCGAGTCGATCCCGAACGCCACAATTACTTGGGAGTTCAAGCGGCGTCGCCTGGGACCTGACGGCGATCTGGATAAGAACATTCAGCAGATCGGCAACGGACCGACGTCTGTGCTACAGGTCGGTGGTGGGGAGACGGAAGAGTGGGAGGGGGAGGAGAGCTAGGAAAGGAAGGGAGGACGATAAGCGAGAAAGGTGTTTTTAACTTTTTTGGGGACGGTTAAGGTGAGACGGTAGAATCGAGACAAGGTTATGGAGATAACTACTGGTGAGCCTAGCCGTGCAGATGATATGCAACGTGAAATGTAGCATTTGCGATTGTGTATTTTGTATAATTCTTGCCTCATTTTCCCGTTGTTGTTTTTACTTGTGTATGAAATTGTGTTGGTAATGTACCAACACAATTTTCTCCTACAGGTGATCCCGGTGGACACCACCTACTTCGGCACGTTCACGTGCAAGGCGTCCAACCTGCTCGGCGACAACATGCTGGACATCGAGCTGTTCGAGGCCACCGTGCCCAGTCCTTTGACCGACGTACGATTCCATGAAGTCACCGCCACCACCGTGACATTCGACATGAATGGGCCGGCGAACGACGGAGGCCTACCGCTTATCTCGTATGCGGTGCAGTATAAGCAGCAGGGCGACTCGTGGGATGCTAAGGAGGAGCTACAATGGCCGGTGGGCACTACTTATGTGGTGTCGGGACTCAGACCGGAGCGAGCATATGTGTTCAGGTGAGAGAGCGAGCGAAGAGGGAAGAATGGGAGGAGGAAGGGATGGGATGGGATGGGATGGGATGGGATGGAATGGGATGGAAGAAACAGCGGAGGAGTGTGTTGGGAAGTGGAAAGAACGGCACATCGAAGGGATTAGTGGCGTTCAAACTTCAAGAAGACAAAGGCGTTGAATGTGTTTTGGTAGGCATGACAAGTTGAAATTATGTGGGTATTGCTTTCGAGCTGCCTTCAGTATTAAATTGATTTATTTTTCTCCCATTCTTACTGCATTTCTGCTTCTAATTGTTGTGATGGGTGCACGTGGATCAAATTCTCTGCTTGTCCCATTTATGCTCGCGTGCTGTTGATTTTATTCCAAGGAAAGCAAATGATCGGTTGTTTCATGCCATTGCGTTGTTTTACTTTCCTCACAACATCCATCACTCCACTACTGGTTTGCAGCTGGTTTAGCGAGCCAAATTACATGGTTCTGTTATTTTAACGACACGAAAACGGCACACGAGCTTAGCACCCCTGTGTTTGCACTCTGTTCCATTGGCAGTAAGTCGCTGAATAAACTCAGCAGCGGCGTTCCGCATACTATGTGATTTATGCGCGAACGTTTGCTTATCGGCTGAACACGAAAAGCCTGCACTCCGTTTTAGTCTGTTTTAGAGCTGTTTTCGATTGTGACGTGTATTTACACCAGTCCGGTAGTTGGTAAGCCTCAGGCTAGGAGCTAGAATGAACTGCACCGTTTACTGCACCGAAAATCCTAACATATGAATACTCCTAAGTTCTAGGTGTAATATATGTATGAATGCTTCTACATAGGTGTGTCGGCTTATTAGGATTATCGGCAAAGTGCCGGGTCAGCATTTATCCAGAAACAAACACGACTTAGAAGGTGAAAAACACCATGAATCAAATAAAACGAGCTAGGAGCGCTGCAAAACATTCTAAATCATGTTTTGCCAGCTGTCTTTTTAACTTAGTTCCTAATCCTAGTACATTTATCCTCAGCTCCAAGTCGCCTCATTGACGGCTGTCTCCTTTTCGTCTCGTTGCTCGTCCCTGTTTTACCATTCTCTGACCACCATGCCTACCTGTTTCGCCAGGTTCGCCACAAAGAATGATGTCGGCTTGAGCGAGTGGTCGGCAGAGCAGCCGATGGTGATGCCAAAGATTGACGTACCCGAGGCGCCGCGTATCCTGTGTAAGTGTCAAGTGATAAGCAAGAGGGAGACGGAACAGGGTCCGAGAGGGGGAGATGTTGTGACAATGTTGGGGCGCTGGGAGAATGTGCTTAGTCCTAGAGCCGGCGGATGATTATGATGAAGAATGCAGATAATGAGCTGTGATAGCTGATATATAGTATTGTGCTACCTTTCCCATTTGTCTCAACGTTTAATTCACCATAACGTATGTCATATTCATTATTCATTAATATGTACGAACCGCAGTGTTATCACAACCGATTGTTATTTATAGTCACCGTGATCACAGCAACGAGCCATAGTTGTTTTCACCTTACAGCTTATTTTATTTATCGGTGTCTCTTTCCTCCCATTCCTCCCTCCCTCGATTCTCACCCCTCTGACTCACCACCCCTCCTCTCCCACCAGTGCCGGACTCCACTCTCACCCCTGCCGAGGGCGACGGTCTGTCTCCGCGAGAGGTGCCCGTGGTCAACTCGAGCTCGCCGCACTCGTTCTCCGTCCAGTGGCAGGCGGGCGCCAACAACGGAGAGAAAATCAACAACTTCGAGGTCACCTACTATGAGGTATGGTTACGTGGAGGCTGTTGGGATCGATGGTGATGGGTTCAAAGTCTAGTATCTGGATTTATTTAGACAATCTTCGGTTTATTGTCAAAATCATGACGCTTCGTTGCTGATGGTCATGTAAGATACTGGACCAATGCTTCGGTGAATGTTCTATTAAGTCGCAACATTGTGTGTTACGTCAAAAATTGTGTGTCAATGTGTGTGTTAAGGCATGGTTAAAATCACGTGAACGACAGTGATCATTGCGGCCATTCGCATGCGTACACGCTTGTAATTCTGTATCATAGTTAGAACTTCTGCTATCCCGCATCGTTTTGACTGAGCGCCCCTTTACACCGTCAGGTGATGAGCACAAAGACTGGCCAGTGGCGATCCGTCTCCTCCGAGCACAAGGCCTACGTCGACTTCCCGGGTAACAACGCCTACACGATGGAGAAGCTCAGCGCCGGAACGCACTACCGTGTCGAGCTGCGAGCGCACAACAAGATAGGACTGGGCGCGCCGGCCAGCATCATCGTGCGAACGGCGCCCGGGCAAGGTCAGCTTTTGTTTGGGGTCGTCGGCCTGGTAAGGATGGGGTCGGTAGGGGGCGGGTCACTGAGGAAGGGTTCTGCGGGTGGGGGAGAGAGTAGGGCGCCACATAGCCGCGTGCTAGTCAGCTAAGTCAGGGAGAAGACGTCCCTGAGTCTAGTCATGGGGTACCAAGCCTGAGTCTTGTCGTCTGAGTCTCATAGGCACAGCGCCCGCTTGGCATGCAAGCATTCGGCATCAGCATGTAGCTGCGACTAATTGGCCCCGAGGTTTGGTCACTGGTATCACCCGATTCGTGAGACCAGACTTGAGGCACTGGACCTTGGACTCAGGTGACACCTCACTGCGCGTCATGCCGAACACTCTGAGGTGGGAGGCATTGTGCAGGCAAGACCACTTCACCTGATCGGGGCTTTTGTTTGTCTGAGCCTGTTTGGGGTGATTTAAGCTTTGCTGATATGCGTGCATTTGTGATCGTCTGTTCGTCTGTTCATCTTTTTCCACACATATGACTTCCACCTCGCCCACATCGTCCACCTGTCCACCTTGTCGCATGAGCCGATGCCGCCACTTTCCGTGGGTTTGCCCATTTCGTCCACTCGAAGTCCGTTCCAAGTACTACATCAGTCCACGAAGGTTCGCTTCGAAAAATCTGCACCCTCGCTCTCCTTATCGTGTTCCGAGAAGCGTATCCGAATCCTTCCCTAGTATGTTTGTAATGACTTTCTTTCACTTCCTTCTACCAAGCAGACCTTATTTCGGTTTGGTTTCATCGGGCCTTGTCATCTGGAATCGATCGCTGTCGATCTCGGCCTCCCATGAATATCCTTCTACCGTTATTTATCAGTAGCTAGAACAGCCTTCCATGAGGACGAGATCACATCCTTCCTGGTCCATTCTCCTGAGTTGATCTCAATGAATCGTCCTGCCTTGTTTTGACCTCACGGCGCTCGCTATGCTTTTGTTTGTCCGTTGCGTTGCATTTTGATCCAAGTGCGCTTGCTCCTTGCGTTCTTTTGGCTGAAACCATGATCCTGCCACTGCCTTCTTTTCGACAACTTGTTCCTCGTTTTACTCTGGTTTTAGTTTAGTCAGCCGCCAATTCCTGCTCTTCCAGACTCCAGTGGTTCCAGACGTAGTCCTCGTTTTCCTAGTTCCGTAGCTTCATCCCAGTCATCGAGCCAGCTCGGATTTCACCTTCTTCCCGTGACAGCCGTTCGTGACGGTCCGCTCTCGCCGCCCTACAGATGCGCAGGCGAGCGGCAGCGAGGGAGCCCCACCTAACGCCGGAGCGACCGCCGCGCCCACCCTCGGTACCTGGCTGATGCTGCTGCTGCTAGCGCCGACCGCGGCGGCCGCCCGGAGGCCGTGATTAGTCGGCCGGCCGCGGGGCGGCGCTAGTGTCGCGGGCTGAGCGCGCTGCGCAGTGTGCCTGTGTTGGTGCAGTGGAGACCAGTAGGCGCGCATGCCGGGCGGGGCTTCAATGACGGGGCATGCAGGCTCGCGCCGCGGGCTCGGTGCGGGCTCGTGTCCCAGCACGTGTGGGTGCACGTGGCAGGGTCGGGCGGCACGTGATGGCTCGGTAGAGCGGCTGAAAGCAGCCGCCAGTCAGGGCCGAGACCGCGCCCGATAGCCACATTCCATGCCAAACCGAATTAGGGGCCGGCCTCCCGTGGGGGCCGCCCGGTCCGGTGGAACACGGCAGGATCTCGGGGTGGAGGGCGGGCGCGCTCGCGCCGCGCCGGAACGGACTGAGTTCGGTGTGATGATTATTATACGCTGCCGGGTGTGAGTTGTGTGTGGCGGGCGGCGGTTGACCTCGGGTGACCTCGGGTGACCTCTCCGGTGCAGCGGCGGGTCCCACTAACAGGCCGGTGTGCCCGCTGACCGACCTCTCCGCAGCAGCTGTCCGGGGCGGCCTCTCTGACCTCTGCTCGCTCGCTGCCGGCGGCGGTACCTCGGTTTCTGGGTTCTGAGGTCGTAACACCGCCACGGAGTATTAATTAACACTGGGTGTGGCGGTTAACCGGACCACCCGCTGTCCCTGCCAGCTGCCGTGTGATGTGGTGTATTTACCTGTGCGTCCAGGCCACTCCGGCTCCTCCGCTCCTGTGTTTTGTGGTCCGGTGTGTGTCTGCCTGTTTGTCCGTCGGTTCTCTCCTCTGTAAGAGTTTCTTATTGGATAGTGGATAACTTTTTATGGATAGCTTTATCTGCTGGTACCGTCTGTGTGCTCGTTTATCACCCATAAGACTAAACCCACAACTCTTTTTCTGTCTTCTTTTTTTTCTCCCTCCCCCATCTCCCTCCCTTCAACTTTTCTCTTATACCGGACAGATGGACTCAACCCTCAGATAGACCCAATCTAAACCCACAATAGACCCAACCCAGTCTACGCGGATTTCCCCTTGCTGTTCTGTGTCTCGTCGCCTTTCGCCTCCGTCTATCTCTGTCTCTCTCCGCCTTTCGCCTCAGCCTGTCTCCGCCTCTTTACGCCTTTCGCCCCCGCCTGTCCCCGCCTCTGTGCTCGTTCCGCCTCCGTCTGTGTGAGCGCCTGTGTTCGGCCGATGCGGCCAGCGTCGTGCGTCCGTACGCCGTTTTGTGATGTCCGCCTATGTGCCGAACAATACACGTATGTCGCGGGACCGAGCGGTCCCGACCGTAGCTACAAGTAGTCTCTCTCTCTCTCGACTGACCGTCGGCGGTGGCCGGCGCACGGCAGCGCAGCAGCTAGTCTAATACTCTCTCCTTCAGCGAAGGTAAATACCGGTCGGCCCCGGAGTAGACTAACCACTAATGAGTCGTGCGCTGTGGCGGGGCTCTGGGTCTGTTGCTCGTCTCTTGGTACTTTGCTCTCTGTCGTAGTTTAGCGCGCTCGCTGCCTCGCTGGGATTGGGATGCAGTGAGAAGCGGGGCCTATGTTGGGAAATGAGGGAATATCACAGCGCACGGCATGCAATAAATGAAATAAGGACCCGCAGTCCAACAGTGGATTAGGATTTAGGTCTTCCCAGTTGGATGTTATGAAGCGGGAAGTCATTGCTGTTGGTTTACCCGTGAATAAGTATAGTAACCTTGTTACGGGTAGATAAATGTACTCGTTTACATAAGATTATGTACGTTACCTCGATGTGGTCGAGGCGTTAGGTATTTTCACGCATTGACTCTATTCGTATTTTCTATTAGTTTGAATCGCTTGCCTTTTCTATGATTTTGCTCTGGTCGTCTTTTACATTAGTTTCGTCTATGAATGTCCAAGTGGTTGCGTAGTTATTCACTTTATCTGGCTGCTATAGTTCTCTGTCTCGTTTGTCATGCTTGTGCCCCTTGTTAGAACTGCATATGCAATGGTTTGTAGCTGTCCTGCACTTCTTCCCTAATGGTCAGTGTACCCCATGCCCCCCCCCCCCCCTCCGCTGACCCATTTCCCCGCGATGTCAGACTCGGACCCCGAGCTGAGCAAACCGGAGAATATCGTGGAGGCGGGCGGCGGCTCCGAGGACGACCCGCCGGCCCTGGCCTCGGCTGCTGTGGTCGGGGTGGTGGTCGGCGTGCTGCTGGTGCTGCTGCTGCTGGTCGACCTGACCTGCTGGGCCGTCAGCAGCCGGGGCATGCTGCACTCCCTCTGCGGAAAAGCAAAGGGAGCACAGCGCTCCCAGACACTGGAACATGCGGATGCTGCCAGGTGAGGGTCGAGGGATGCTGCGGGAAGGGGTGGGTAGGGATGGTGGGACCAAACAGGATGGAAGGCGTTCGACTTAACATGTGTGCCTAGCCCTTGAAACGTGTGCGCTATTCAGTAACTGATTTATGTCTGCGGGTGAATTCGCTAGGATGTTTTTTTTTTTTTACCGGAGCTATCGTTTTATTTAAGAGGATATCGGGGATTTCGATGGCTATCGTGCTACATGGTTTCATGCGCTAAAATTGAAACCGCAGATATGCCTTGAGCGTATCTTCGACGGTCTGTTTGCTTTCCTTCATTGGAAATCCTTTGAATGTCGTGTACCAACACTCATTATCTTGTCATGCATGTTTCAGTGAGAAGCAGCCACTTCAGGACCAGAGCGCAGGGAATGGGACCAATGCTACCTCAGAAACAACCAGGTTAGTGGACCATGTTGATAATTTGAATGTACCGAATACCTGAGTGCTCAATTCTCAGCTGTCTTTGCTTTTGTAACGGAATATTGAATATACACATTGCGAGGTATCAATCTGATGTAAATTTTTCGTATAGCTACAATGTAGTTATAAGAAAGAACACGAAAAAGGACCTGGAACTAACCCCTTATCGTTAATGGAACGGTATCCAATCAATTGTGCAATGTAGTTATGAAAAAGAAAACGAAAAAGTACCTGGAAGTAACCCCTTATCGTTAATGAAACGGTATCCTATCCGCACTTAACCACTTCGCGATTTACTACGACCGTTTTATCTAGTCTGATATGAAGCTTACAAACTGCCATTTCTGTTCCAGCGAGCCTCCTCCTGACGTGGCCGTGACTGGCTCGGAGGCCGCAGACCCGAAGGACTCGGCGGTCTAGGCCGGCGTGAGTGTGTCAAAAGAATTCACCACCGATGCGCGTCCCACCACAGCCCATTGAGAAAGGCGGGAGAGAAGCGCTGGCAAACAGTTTCAGCGTGGTCGAATGGCGGACTGCTGTGCGCTGATAGTGTTGGCTTTACGCGAGAGCCCTCTGAACGCAACGCGTGACATCAAAATACTGCTTGTTGTAGCGGCTTGTGGAACTGGAGATAGATGTGCTTCGCAAGACAAAGACATCGCCACGTCCATGACGCAAAGTGGTCCGAAGCAGATCTCGTCGTGACATATTTTACGCTTTGTTTAGGAAGAAGCCATTTCATTTCAATGATTTCATCTTTGTCCGCTGTCTGATTTGGGTGTTCTGTGCTTAGCCCAGATTTTCGCTGATATCTGTGCTGTGTGGCTGGCGTGAGATTTGCTCGTTCGCGCACGTCGCTGCTGAACTTTGGCTTTGCGATCGAGATGTTGAGATGCACGGAAACACTTGCAATCCATTTTGTCGCGCCAAGTGGCTTTGTTTTAGCTTTGTTTGTTTCGTGACAGTGAAATGCCAGGAAAACACGTATCAAAGGTTGTTTCTTGAATGCAGTATGTTAGGTTACCAAAACAATTTGGTGAGGGCTTGCATATCACTTTTTGTGTTATGCTTGCTTTTACCTGCGATGCTTGTTTTGGTGAACCCAAGTTGCTAGCATTAGATATAAACAATCTGACGTTTAGTACTATTTTAACCGTGCTTCAACTTTGCATTGCTTCATGTCTCGGTTATGTGTCTGTTGAAATTATCAATGCTGGTCGAAATTCTGCAGTCTTTGATTTAGGTGTGTCTGAATTTCGCTGTATTCCTTTTAGTTTGTATCGGATATCCTCCACGATTAACGTCAGTCGTCACCAACAAGGGCGCCGAAGCTTCATCCCCTTGTGCTTCCTTTGTCTCGTGTTTCGCTGATGCAGCGAAACACGGCGCAGCCAGAAAAGCTTGCTTTCTGGATATGTGTGGATGTTGTCTCATGTAGTGTGGTGGTTAGAATGTGTGCCAGGGTGTGAAGGTATATGCGATGAATGGAATGCAGTATGGGACAATAAACTGGTGCGTTTTCTTTCATCGTGAACTTCTCAGAATAACTCCACATAGCCTAGTCCAGCCTGTACTCATGCGTAGGTTATTTATGCTCCGGTTTAGCGTTATGTCCAACATTGCTCCAACGAGCTTTCGTGATGCAATAACGCAGCCTTTTTCGACAGAGATGTATTGCAGTTAACAAAGTAGAAAAGCGATCCATGGGAGCTAGTTGACTAGATTATTCCAAATGTAACCAAACGCTCGCGCCCTCGCAGTCCAGTCACATTCATTGCACATCGCTGAGTTTGGCAGCACCATCAGCCTCTTCTGGTGACGTCATAGGGGCGTACGGTGGCATTGTGCACCGCGGCCGCAGACGGATGCACCAGCACACTACACCGAAACACACCCAGCATAAACGTTCACACATCACATCTACACAGACGCAACGCAAGGCTCCAGCATTAGCCCCGTGTAAAACTGAGTACAAAAAGAGTTGCCGCGAAGTGCCAATCGCTCACGCTGAGACATGTGACGTCACATCGAGCACACCACACCAGCAGACTGAATTCCTGTGACGTTGTTTCAATCCAGTTGGCAGCACGGGCAGTGAGCACCTATTGCGTACATTGTGACGTCACTCGTGGGTCACACTGTGAGCTGAGCTGACATGACATCATTATTCATTATGTCTGGTCTGGGTCAGAAGAGATACTGTAACGCCATGTGTAGAACGATATCGTGACGTCACTTTCAAAATCAGCAAAGGATATGTCACCTCACATCCGTTATCTTTTTTCACCAATTTTCAGCTGCACGACCGGCATTATCAACGGACTCACGTCGCGTTATTCCTCGTTTCTGTGACATCACATACAGCTACGTTTGGTCCGATGACGTCACGCGCTCAGAGCTGGGCGGTGGGCCAGGCGATCTTGGCCTCGAGTCGTTTGTAGGCGAGCATACAGTGCGTGCCTCGAGCGGTCAGCTCTTGTTTGATATGCTGAGGACAGTCGAGGTCCCCCAGCAGTGTTTCTGTGGAAAATGGGAAGAGATATCTGTCAGCTCCCGGAAAACGGTATCGATCTCTTTGGGACACACCTGTGATCTGAAAACTCATGCTGCTTATACATGTTTGTTGAAGTACTTCTTTCTTAATAATGCACATAAATAATATAATATATAATACAAACGTATTATGTATTATATTATATATGTAATAAATACACATACAAACGAAAGCAAGTTACCGACCCCGAATCGCACAGACGCAATACGCGTGTATCTGGGCGGTCGACACGCGACTTTCGACATTCCTCGATAGATGGAATGGATCCCTCCATCTCATCTGCCATCCAACAGATATTTCTTCCCCTCCATCCAACCCTCAGAAGACCCCCTTCCGACCCTGTCTTGTTCGCGACTCACCACAGCCGTCGATGAGTTTGAAGAGGCCGTAGTCGGTGGGGCTGGTAATGCGTAGTTTGTTCCCCAGCATCCTGCACACCTCCCTAGCAGAGGTGGTGGGTCGTGCCGGCAGCGTGCGGCTGATGATGGTACCCTGCTGCTCGTCCGGAATGACCACTCGCAACAGACCGTCAACGGGCTCACTGCCAGAGACTGAACCGGAACACTGGGGGAGAGAGGGGTGACAGGTCAGGTCACGGACTCACGGGGCTGAGCCGGGGACTGAGCCCCCGAACACTGAGGGGGAGGGGAGGGTCACTGCCAGAGACTGAACCGGAACACTGAGGGGGAGGGGTCAGAGGTCAGGTCACAGGGTCACTGTCAGAGACTAAGCCCGATCGCTGCCGGGGAGCTTGTCACAAGTTCCACTGCCAGAGATTGAGCCCGGGAACTGGTAGAGGGGTCACGGGTCAGGTCGCACGGTCACTGTCACACACTGAGCCGGAACACTGCGGGAGAGAGCCGAGAGATCACAGGTCATGTCACGGATTCACTGACAGAGACTTAGCCGGAACACTGGCGGGAAAATAGTCACACATCAGGTCAGGTCACATTTCGGGTCAGGTCACATGTCAGGTCAACCTCAACTCGTAGACTCACTGCCAGAGCTGAGCCCGAAAAGCAGGCATCACCTGGTCACCATGTCCTCCTTGGTCCACCCCCGAAATCCCCGAGTCCACGCCCGGCAAAGACCGTTGCACCTACCATACACTTGATTCCAACAACCGCTGCATCACTCACGTGTGACAGGCTGCGGGTGGACTCGCGGGACCGATCGTCCAGGTAGTGCGGCAGGTTCTTCAGCACGTGCACGGCCGAGGACAGCATGGTCAGGTAGTAGCCGGCCTCACCGTTTAGCAGCATCGGGTGCAGCAGACCCCACATGTAGTCGGCCTCAAACTGCCGGGAAAACAACAAAACCGTGTCATAGTTGTGATATTTCAGACGGCATTAATTTAGTGGGTGCTCACTGCTTACCAGCAGCCTTGGCTGGTATTCAGGGTTCTCTTGGATTATTCGTGGATAAGAACGTCTCAATTTATTCACGTTTCGCTTGATGGGCAGTTCAAGACAACGCGAACATGCGTTGTGTATAGCTCCATCCATTATCCATTTGTCAATTGCATAGTTACCGTTACGGTTATCTTGTGTGTTAAGATAGCTACCGACAGATGCATGTCATCTGACCCGCTCATCGCCACCTCCTTCCTCAACAGCCCCCTCCCCTCTAACCCCCCCCCCCCCCCCCTCCACCTCCCCGCCCGGCAGCCGCCGCGCCGGTCGCACCGTCCGAGACGCAATACGACACAGTCTCCAATTCCACCAATCAAAACGCTCGACTTTTACGCCCGGCAAGCAGAAATGCGTGGGCCGCGCGGTCAGTTGTGTATCGAGTAACGAGCGTGTTGGGCGTGCTGATCAGTGCGGACATGATCTGTGACTGGTGGTATGTGAAATGTGTTTTGAATCGTGATCATGATGAGAGTAGTGCTGTGTACATATAGTTGACCTTTCGTTATTCGGATTTGTCGATGAAAAAGTGAAAGACAAAAGTGCTTTATATCGGCGACGACTGACGAGGGGGCGGCATGGCACCGAGATGTGCCCAGGCCACACCAGGATCATACCGGAGGCCTTTTCACACATCTGCCGCTGTGTGGATGTCGGAACTCGGAATCACGAAGAAGCTCCAGCTCGGTGGAAAGCATCGGTGACGTACCCATTTCAGTTTTTCTTCTAAGCATGCGCTTATCCGTCTGACGTAATTGAAAATTTAAAATCTTAACCAATGCCTAAATGGGAGGCGGCCAGAATCTAGGCACGGGCGCCGTCCACTGTGGTGTGGACGGTTAACATAGCGCCATTTATGTTAAATGTGGTGCCCAGACCAGTTACGACTTACGAATACCATAGTCAACATCGGACACTCGGGTACAATAGGGGAGGGGGGAGGGGAAGGAACGGTCGAATTTTCCGAGAACCGCATATTTTTCTCTCGTGTAAGTTTTGGACACGTATGTGTGAGGGGGAGACTTTTTCTCCCAAAACTCTACCATAACAATTATCCCGTCGACGGATGACTCAGACTGCAATAGTTGCGGGACAGTTTTCGTCATTACCCAGGCCAGTCTAACGGGCAATGGGCCGGGCGGGGCTATGGGCTGGACAGTAATACCTACCCAACCACTTAAATACTGCTCTTACTGATAATTGGCTTAACTGCCGTACTACTCGCCCACCTCGATCTACCCAAGTGGAGCTACAGGACCACCCATTTGCCTACCTCTATGCTGGCGCAGTTACACTGGGCCATTGTGTAGATGAGCAGTGGGAGCAGCTCGTCCGCTGGCAGCGACTCGTCCTTGGCGCCAGCGGCGGCGAACACATCCGACACCACGGCCAGCAGGTTCTCCAGCTTGTCCAGCGGGCTGACCGCCTCCTGCAGTCTCTCCATGGTGGCCCGTATCGCCTCCAGGGCCGCTCCTGTCGGCGGCGGCCGCTCCGGCTTGGCGCCCAGTGACGCCGCCGGGCGGCCGCGCGTCAACTCGAGGTTCTCAGTCAGCCGCTGGATGGCGCCACTGCGCCGCCCGGCCTCGGCCGTCAGGTGCTTGAAGTGGTCGTACAGAGGCCGGACCAGCAGCTCCTCCAACACCCCCTCCAGGATGACGTCCAGGTTCAGGAAGGCAGTAGACGCCAGCTGAAATGGAAGACACGATTGTGAAGTAGATCGAAACGGCGAAAGTTTAGGTGCGCCGAATATCCGATCCGAGCCAACAACAGCACACCGGCATTACAATTTCTGGGATATCCAGCGTGTAGCGTTGCGCTAATTCACACTCGGGGCCCGCCACAGGACAGGCCAAATACGATATAATCTAAATGGGCCTCAACTGGGCAATCATCGCATTGCCACTGTCCCGGCCTCACCTTGTCCCGCTCGCTGTCAACGATCTGGTGGAAGTTGCCCTCGCCGTGTTTGACCAGGTAGTTCTTCATGCCGTTGACGAACTGGCGAGTGTTCCTCATCACCACATGAGGCTCGGTCTCGGACGCTTCTCGGGTGCACTGTGACGGATGGACGTATGAAGGTCAGACAATTGTTTGAGCTCCTCCGTGTGGATGCTTCGTAAGCAATGAATAGAAGATATGCATTTCTGAACTGAGAGAATGAGTAGACGGTTAGCTCAAAATTAAGCTCGCCAAGTGAGGAAATTAGTTATCGAATACTGATGAATCATCACATGTGCAAACTCATTTGATGACGACGTTTACAGGAATATAAACATTTGACATATGAGAACAGTTGGAATTTAAATAGTTGATACCTAAACTTCTGGCTTCCTTTCCATTTCCTCACCTGAAGGAATTTCTGCACGTTGAGCGCGAACGTGTTGGATGTCTCGGAGGTGGCCAGCTGAAGGACGTACTCGCGGATGGCCGCGCCCGACTGCTGGCTCCTCCGGTGTAGCCGGAGTGAGGTCAGACGGGGCGGCGCTGTAAGAGGGGAACGGGAGGTCAGCGAGGTCAGACGGGGCGGCGCTGTCGGAACACGAGGTCAGGTCAGACGGGGCGGCGCTGTGGGAGGGGACAGGAGGTCAGCCCGATCGAGGTCAGACGGGGCGGCGCTGTGCGAAGGGACGGGAAGTCAGTGGGGGAGGCACGAAGGTCAGCTGCTGAGAGGGACAGGTCAGACGGGGCAGCGCTGTAAGAAGGGGGACGCGAGTTCAGCCGGGGGTGAGATCAGACGGACGCTGCCGCGGAGAGGGTGGGAGGTTCAGACGGAGGGAGGTCACACTTGGTGGCGCTGTGCGGGAAGGAGTGAGCAGGTCAGAAGGAGGGTAGGAGTCAGCTGGGGGATGGGGAGGGGCAGGTCAGACATGACGGCGCTGTCGGAGGGGAGGAGAGGTCAGATGGAGAGTGGCCGAGAGGCTGAGAGGTCAGTCGGGATGAAAAGGGCTGAGAGGTCTTTCGGAATAGCGCTGCCAGAGGAGGAGGGCAGTTTATCCGGATTATAGGTGTTGGGCCATATGTCAAGTTTTCGTAATGCGTAAACGTAATTTAGTATTCTATGAAAGTGTTGCTTAGATGGTTATGAGCGTTCAAAGGACTTCCTCTTCCCTAAATCAACTTTATAGCGAGCTCGAAAGTGGTCTGCTTAATATGCATGTACGGGCGCCGTAGCCACAAACGACTTTAAATTAATTACGGCTCGCCGAGTCGCCCAGGAGACTACTCAGCACTAATGACTCTGAAAGCCCACATTTTTGATAAAACTTCTTGGTTCATTATCCAGCCTGAGCAGACCGAGCTAATGAGAAAAGTTCGGAAAAGCGGTCACGGAAGGGGATGCAGGACACGATGTTTCTGGTCTGAAGCTAACAAGCATGCGTGTGATATTCAGTGTCCATATGAAGCCCTTTAATTTAATTAGTCGTTATTTCTGTGAACAAATAGATAGTGCCTTTTCTAAGAGAATGAAGGTAGATTAAAAACAATTTATTTAGTTAAAAAGCTTGTGGAATTTCGTTGAATTTCAATTACCTACTAAAGCTCACTAGTAACTGATGACATGCTAGGTCCTTATAGATCCATCAACAGTACCTCAAACTTCATATCACTTTTACTCACAGTAGAGGGACTCCTGCGGCGCGCGTGGCCGGGCGAGCCGCTGTGCCTCCGGTCGAGCCACCGTCGCATCGGAGGTGGCCGTGTCATCCTCCGCAGGCGGCGCCTCCTGCTGCACGTGCACGAACGACTCCGAGTCGGTGAAGGGCCGTTCCTCGGCCGTCTCCGGCTCGAACTGCCCCGTGCGCAGCCGCAGCTGGTCCTGCATCAGGCGCATGATGGACTCCCATTTGGAGGTCTCTGTGATGTCGGTCAGTGGAGGACTCACTCCGATTCCGGGGGGAGGCGGAGCGGGTGCCGGAGGCGGCGGGGAGCTCAGAGGACGGACGTTGTCGTAGTCGGATGCTGAGATGGACGCTTCCGGCACGGGGAGGCTGGAGGGAAGGATAGGTCCCGCTATCTGCGGCAGGCTCTGCCGGATGTAGGCCTGCACGATGCGGCTCTCCTCCTCCTTAGAGAGAGTCGGCGGACCTGCTGCCTCTGACTCAGTCGACTCGGAGAGACGGTGCGACGCGTCGCGAGGCTCGACCGGCGGCCTGCGCAGCTGGACAGCACCCTCGTCGGCTTCGGCTTCCGTGTCTGCCTCGAAACCCTCGTTATCAGCGCCGACGAATGCCCATTCAGCGTCGAGCCGCCAGCCGCGCGCGGCGCGCCGCTGCCGGGGCCGACGCGGCGACTGAACCCGAGGTGGCGGGACGGCCTTGACACGCCGTGCCGCCTCACCCAGGCCGTGCGAGCTGTGTGAGCGAGATCCGGCACGCAGACGGCGCGGCGCCGACGCCAGGTTGTCCACGCTACTGGAGAGAGGCGGCAGCTCGTCACTGGAGTCGATGGTCTCGAGTCGCGCGGCGCCGGGCCGTCGGGACCGACCGGGCGGCTCCCAGCGGATGTTGGGCTCCGAGTGGCGGTGCGCTGCCGTCCGGTCGAACGGCGCTCGCCGCTGCACAACCCCGTCGGCCGGTGAGCTGACCGTCTCACTGCAGATGGCAGAAGCAGGCCGCACCGCGTCCGCTGGTATCGCGTAGAACGGACTGCTGTTGGCACCGCTGGAGCGGGGCGAGCGCAGCTCCGGGCAGGCGGTACGTGCAGGGGTCAGCTCCAGTCGGAGACCGGTGCGGTCGCCAGACACCGGCGGCACCACGGCCGGCTCCCTCGCCGCCTCACTGAGATCGTTCATCGAGCGAGCTGCCGTGCGAGGTTTGAACGTGCTCTCAGGGATCTCTCGCGGCGGCGACGCCCAGATGTCCTCATAGTCAGAGATTTTGTCGGCCACCGAGCTGCGACAGATTCCGACGGGTAGCTCCAGGATGTCCGCCTCCTGGTAGTGCGTGGAGCGTTTCTTACGGCCACGCCGGCGGCTGGCGCGCGGCGCGCCGCCCGGAAGCAGCACATCGTCATCGCACGAGGCCGGCGTGGTGGCGGGAGACGCGGTCTGGCGCCACGGCGCGCTGCCTGGCGTCGGTGCCAGCTCTCGCACTGGTGTGTTGGACGCGCTACGCACCTGTCTGCCGGAAGCTGCGCTGCCCCGGAGCGCGCTCACCTCGCTCCTAACTGCGCCGAAACCGTTTCCGTTTGTGATTGCCCCGGCACAGAACCCGTTCAGCGCAGCTGGGGGCGTGAGCGACGGCTTACACCAGCGTGGCGGCGGCCGCGGCGGCACCGCCCGGCCGGCTGGCTCTCCTCCCACCGGACTGGCCACGCGTCCCACCAGTGCTGGTGAGTGAAGCCGCGCCGCCGCCGGCTGCAGCTGCAGACTGGTGGGCGGCGCGGGCCGCGGATGCACCGCCGGCCGGCGCGCGCCCTCCGCCGGACGCTCCGTGATGGCGCCCAGCGGCGCGGGCGTGGCCGGACTGGCGCGGCCCTCGCCGGGGCGGCCTGACGACAGCCGCCGTCCGAACGTGGTCAGCGGCGAGTCGGAGGGCGGAGGACCGCTGGAGCTGCCCAGGCTCGACTGACTGGTGAGAGTCTCGGTGTGGGGTGGAGGAGGCGCGCCCGGCGGACTGCACAGACTGCCCAGACTGGACTGGCTGCCGCCGACCTTGTTCAGACTGCTGCTCGCAGTGGAGGACTGGGTGCTGCCGCTGGCTCCAGTGCTGCCACCTTGTGAGCAGTTGGCGAGACGTGACTGCCAGAATTCTGTCGAGAGAGGGAGGGAGTTATGCACAAATCATTGCACGGCGCATAATATCGGTGAACGGCGATACGGAAAGCCCAATCACTTTTATAGACCCTGGTATTAGAATATCGCATTATTTATCTAAAGCACCCGCCCTCCACGCTTCGCCCGTTCGCTGAACTCTACTCTACTCCCACTTAGGCACTCCACAAAACTTCTCAGAATTAGCCTAGCGAGGCCGAACCACTTATGTTAAACCGCTTACTGCCTGATTAACCACTTGTCGTGGAGTCTTTTCATATGAAAGCACTCGGCACACTGCGTTAAGTCGCGTGACAACACTTCAGCTGTTGGATCAGGGAGGCCCCGTGGCCAGGCCCTGGCGCATAGTTTGAAGAGGTTGACCAATGCCCAATATGCCCTCTTGAACAACGCAGCCTTAGAGAAACAACCTCGAACGACGAACAACATTTTGAATGTCACGCAAACTTCCACAACTTAATACCTAACAAGTCTTATTTCACCCTAACTCCTTTTCTCCTTTTCTATCTCACATTTTTTCACTTCCATTTTGGCTAAGCAGTCAGAATACCAAGCACCAATTCGGACGGGTTTGACCGCGGACCACCCAGGTAGCGCGCGGTCCGTCCCAGAGCGTCCCGAGCAGGTGGTACCCGCTCGTTCTGCTGAGAATGATCGCCTGAGGCAGTGGTGCTGCCAACACCTGTCAGTTGGTGCACGGACGGCAAGGGAGGGAGCCCTCCGCGGCATCTGCCGCACTGTGACGCTACGGGGAGGTGACGTCATCATGACAGTATTTCACGGGAGTGATGGTGGTGAATTTGTTAGTCCCTGACGTCTGTCACCCGTTACAATGAAGATGCGTCAGTAGCGTCGTTTTTGGCACAAAGCACCGTCACAGGAGGCTGCGTTACGTCACGGTTGGAAGCGTCACATCGAGTGATGTCATTGCAAGTGACGTCACAAAGGTGGGAGACGATTCTGTATAACCTGGCGTTGCGGGAACGGACTGTTTTATCGTCCATCTGGCCGCCTACGGTGGCAGACAGTACACATTCTCCCGCATTGCGCAATGGATGACACGGTGCCAAATGGTTGTCACACACATGAACTCCCTGCGGCTGCACCCTTTCTTTGTTCGCACAACTGCAGTTACCTACATCATAAGGGTAGCTCACTCACTAAACTCACTGGTCTACCATTCTCGTATCACCATTTACCACACTACAGCAGAGGATGCTCCCACACACCCGTCCCCGACCCGCCCACACCAGTAGGATCTCACCTTGTCCGAGGAGTGCGCGCGACAGGAGCTGGTGGCGACTCTCGGCCTTCTGGAGACTGTCGGGGAGCCGCAGCTGTACGGGCAGCTCGTCACTGGAACAGGGCCAGAGATGGGCGTCAGAGACCGCGCCGGTTACTCACGAGAGCCCGCCCTCGCCCCCGCCCCCGCCCGCGTCCTGACCGGTCCGCCCGCCCGCCACCGCCGCCGCCGCCGCCCCCTTCCCTGCACCGCACATACAGTGGTGAGGTGCCGTCGAGCCAAGTCGGACCGATCAAGCCAGGTCGAGCTGAGCGAGCCAAGCCAAAGAGTCCTTTCGTGAGACGAGCGGCGACTGAGATAGCCCGTCATGTGGCGGGCTGCAGGCGGGATGGCTCCGGTGCACGGTATGCTGGGGAGGGAGGGGACGTGCAGCAAGGTCGGGCTGAGCTCTGAGCACGTGCCGGTAGCTCGCTGAGAGGTGCGGCCGATCAGAGATCGCGGTATGAGGGCGGAGAGGATTAGTGGGCGCACCGGCGGCTAGCCAGACGGACCGCCGCTCGGGGCAGACGTGAGTCAGAGCCCCGACGACGGCAGATGGGACGGCTCAGGCCCAGTTCCTTGGACTCTGGGTGGAGCGCACCGCAGTTTATCGGCGCAGCAGAGGCGTGCAGCGGCGCACCGCGCCCTGCGCCACTTCTGTCGCTCCGCGCCACGCCCGGCGCAGTGGCACAGAGCGCGTCAGATTCGTCGGTGGTGGACGGGAACGACAGTTTATGACGGTGATGGTAGGAGATCGACTGTCTTTCAATGGCACAGAGGAGAGTTGTCTCTTGCACTCCACCCTCTATGTTCCAGCTTTCTCAGCGAGAAGACCGTGCGACGGTTAGTGACCGTGACCGACTGATAAATTGGGAACAGAGCGACACTCTGACACTGTATGAAGGTGACCGTGAGAGGCCGGCAGGCTGACAGGCTGACTTGACATATTTAAAAATGAGACTGACTGACTGACGACCAAGTCGATAGGTAGGTATATTTTTCACGACTGAATGTTGAAAGTTGGGTATTTATTCGTTGTGTTTTTTTGCGCGCGAATACCGGGCAAGCCCAGAATGGGGAAGTACCTATTTCATTCGTGTCGCATTGTCCATCAGTATGCTCGCATAATAGAGCGTGACCAGAGCATCTCTCTAGAGGTGGCGGGCACTGTGTGGAGCATCACATTGCACGGAATCACGTGCATATGCCGCATCACCCGGTTTGAGTCAGTGGCGGTCGCAGGGGGGGGGGGGCCATCAGGGCCATGGCCCCCCCAAAGCCAAATCAGGGGGGGGGCCATCATATCATTTGGCCCCCCCAAACAACCGATGGGCCCCCATGGCCGTACCGTATGGGGCCCTGGCCCGTATTCGATTGTCACGAGGCTCGAGAAACCCACGCCAGCTATTAACAGCTCCCATACCAGTCTTTGAGGGTCCTACACTGACCTCTGAGGGCCCTTCAGTGGCGGTCAAGCGTCCACATTGACCGCTGAGGACCCACATTGACCTCTGAGGGCCCTCCACTGGCCTTTGAGGGCCCCTAAACCGGCCTCAAGGGCCCAACCGGCGTCTGAGAGCCTCACACCGGCCTCTGGTGGCCTCATTTCTGTCTCTCGAGTCCCAAGACTAGACTTTAAGTGTCTCTGAGGGCCCCGCACTGGATTCTGAAGACCCGATGCCGGCCTCTAAGAGCCCGCATCGGCCTCTGGGGGCCCATATTGGCCTTTGAGGGCCCTCCGCTGGTCTCTGGTGTCCAACGCCGGCCCATGCCGGCCTTTTAGGGCCCCACACTGACCTCTGAGGGCCCCATGCTGGCTGGCCTGTAAGGACCCACATTAGCCTCTGAGGGCCCCGCACTGGATTCTGAAGACCCAATGCCGGCCGCTCAGGGCCCGCATCAGCGTCTGAGGGCCCATGGCTTGGCCTTTGAGGGCCCTCCGCTGGCCTCTGGGGTTCAACGCCGGCCCATGCCGGTCTTTTAGGGCCCCACACTGACCTCTGAGGGCCCCATGCTGGTCTGTAAGGACACACATTAGCCTTTGTGGGCCCCGCACTGTATTCTGAAGGCCCGATGCCGGCATCTAAGGGCCCGCATCATCCTCTGAGGGCCCATCTTGGCTTTTGAGGGCCCTCTGCTGGCCTCTGGGGTCCAACACCGGCCAATGCCAGTCTTTTAGGGCCCCACGCTGACCTCTGAGGGCCCGTGCTGGCCTGTAAGGACCCACCTTAGTCTCTGAGGGCCCGCACGGGCTTCTGAAGACCCGATGCCGGCCGCTCAGGGCCCGCATCGGCGTCTGAGGGCCCATCTTGGCCTTTGAGGACCCTCCGCTGGCCTCTGGGGTCCAACACCGGCCCATGCCGGTCTTTTAGGGTCCTATTCTGACCTTTGAGGGCCCCATGCTGGCCTGTAAGGGCTCACATTAGCCTCTGAGGGCCCCCCACACTGGATTCTGAAGACCCGATGCCGGCCTCTAAGGGCCCGCATCGGTCTCTGAGGGCCCATCTTGGCCTTTGACGGCCCTCTACTGGCCTCTGGGGTCCAACGCCGGCCCATGTCGGTCTTTTAGAGCCCCACGGTAACCTCTGAGGGCTCCATGCTGGCCTGTAAGGACCCACGTTAGCCTTTGAGTGCCCAATTCGGTCTCTGATGGTCTCAAACTGCCCTTTGCAGGCCCTGTACTGGTCTCTGATGGCCCTAAACTGGCCCCTATGGGCCCAAACCAGCCTCTAAAGGTCCCACACCGGCCTTTGATGGCCCTATTATGTTCTCTGGGGGGGGGGGGCTCAAGCCTTACCTTTGGGCGTCACGCACTTGCCTCTGAAGGCCCACATCAGCCTCTGGGGCCCTACCTGGGGCATTTGAGGCCCTTCGCTGACCCTTGGGTCCAACGCCGGCCTCTGGGGGGTCTGACACCGTACTCTAAGGGCCCCATTGCAGCCTCTAGGCGATAGGTATCACCGAAGCGCTATCGATGGGTCCATAAGTGTAGGAACCATGGGTGCAGTGGGCGCAGTTGCACCAACAATAATTCTGCAGTGGGTGCAGACAATGTATTCTGCATCCACAGTAATCTGGAACAAAACCCCTTTTCTCAGCAACACTACTTTCCATGCAGCACGACAAATTTAGGATATTTGGCCCACTATCCATCTTCCGAAGTATTGGCTACTGTAATGGCCTTCAAAACTTACATTTGTGTTCAAGTAAAAACAAAAAAAGATGAAACGGAACACATGTGATTGAACAGTGAACAGATACCGATGACCCACTGTCAAAAGTTTTAGCACGATGATCTTAGAAAATGGCAAAGTTAGCCGCGCCGCCTTTACTTTTGCGGTAGTCCATTCACAGTTGCGTGAATTATTGACAATATCAATGTTTCAAAATGTACTTATCGGTACCTTTTCGACATGGTACACCCTCAAAGCTCGCATTTCGCAATGAGCCTCCTCTCGGGTGTCGCTCACTACCCCCCCCCCCGCTTCACCGGCCATGGCCTGGATTTCTGCACCCGTGCACTACGTCCGTGGGCCCCTTTAACCCTCGCGGGCCCGGGGGGGGGGCGTTTTTCGCCCCCCCCTGGCGAATATTTGCGATAGCTCCCGAACGCTTAGGGATAGGAAAGCGAAACTTTCAGTACCTTTTCTCCCATCAATTTGACATCTTCTGAAGTAAAAAATTTGGACCTAGCCCCCTTGATGACGTCAGAAGGTCCATTTTTCTAGACCCCTGCACGGCAAACTTCGGCGTCACAGACGCAAACTTCAAATAGCTGCTAAAAATAGAGTTTTAGAGATAAAGACAAATTACGAGCACGGTTGTGTAGCGTTTGACCTAGAGAAAAATAGAAAAATAGTTTTGGTGACCTGAGGTCAGAGGTCAGGTCAACGACCCCGAAATGTGGTTTTAGTTTTTCGCAAATAACTTCGACAAAAATGGTCCTAGAGCTACGGCAGTGGTACCATCGCATTCGCCTTGTCAAGCCGCGTCGAATGATATATATTTTGTTCGGAAAAGGTCAAATTTTATGTTGACCTCATGTGACCTCGAATGACCTCTGGTTGACCTTGACACATGAAAGGTCGTTTATGATGGATTTGTATCCGCTGATCACGAATCTGGCATCTATTTTCCTCTAAGCCTTCATTTAGAGCTTCCGGATGGCAAAATTGTCTTATTTATTATTACTAACTTGAATTAGTGAAATAGCCTCTAGCAGGGATACTCTTCTGTGACCTTGACCTTTGAGCAGCCCTGTATCGTAAGATGAACCACAAATAGGGAACTGATAAGCCTCAAAACATTTCAAAACATCTTGGAAGTTAGCACGCAAGATGTGCGAAAAAGTGCCAAGTTTGAGGTCAATTTTGAGCATGACCTTGACCTTGACCTTTGATTTTGAGCACAGTTTCGGAATCCTCAGATTCTCTTCTTTCGTTTGACACCCAATTTTGCCGGTTTGATGCAGCCTGCCGTCCTCTAGAAGGCTTATTTTGAGATCACTACACATGTGCCGGTTTTTGCCTTTGACCTTGACCTCTGACCTTGAAAATTGACCTGAGGTCAAAAATTTTAGGTGCTTTAGAATCGTCTCGTAAGGACCTTTCGTTTGGTATCGCTTTTGTTTCCGTAGCTCCCTTATTTACGGAGTTAGACAGGGGGGGGGGCGAAAAACGCCCCCCCGGGCTGCGGTGGTTGGGATTACCCCCCGGGCCCGGCCGGGTTAAGCTAGCACCGGGCCCCCCGGGTCAGCGCAGGGGCCCCTTTGACAAGTTGGCCCCCCCCAAACTCCAAGTCTGCGACCGCCCCTGGTTTGAGTAATGGTAGTAGACCACATAACGGCGACAAACAGACACTGCTGGCGTGCTGATGTGTAATGCCACGTCATCACGACAAACAGCTGACTGTCAACATGTCTGCGTCACGTGACCGCCCCGGGGCGCGTCCAGTGACCTCCGACCGACCTCAGTGGTGACGGGCTAGGACCGTCGGCGCCCCGCCCACCGCGACGGCTGAAGCTGAATAAAGGGATGCCTACCAAAAGCGTGCGACAACAAATTTTATGGCAACT